TTACACATCCTGTTGTTCCTTCACATCAAGAGATTCAACTATCCTACATTGAACACTCACGTTACACTGAGATCATATTTCTGTACATTTTCAGATGTTGTTAAGATGGCGCCGCAGGTGGCAGCAGGTGAGGCTGGTGAACATCACATCCAGCACCTGGACCATCAGCATCAGTGTGCTCTTCCCACTTTTATTCCCCCTCTACACCAGAGATGTCAAACTCAAGCATATTATATGTCTATCTTATCTTGGCCCGCCACAATGTCAGGCTAGACGCACACAGAGCGAGTGCTCCTCTCCACTCTCTCGCAGCGTATTGGGTGATATGATATTATTTTTCCAGCGTTGCAGAGATCCCAGTGCCTGCCCAATCAATTTCAGCGTGTCTTTCAGGAAACTCTCTCTCTCTCTCTCTCTCTTTCCTTCTGTCTTTCTTTCTCCATCTCACTCTGGCCAGAGAGCCAGGTGGAGTGCACAGCCAGAGCCTGTGTGCTGCTCTCTGGGCCCCATCAAGTTCCCCCACACGCTTTTCTCTGTGATGAAGATGTGAATTTAAATTCTTGTGCTGTCCTTTCTGGAATACCAGCCGACCAAAATTTACATGAGAATACAATATTTACATAAAATACAAAAAGGATATGAACATGTTTAAGAGTAAGGCAGAAACAAGGTGAATGAGGTGCAGAGAGGGCAGTGAGGTCTTGATGATTTTGTTCTGCTGTCCTCACCACTCTCTGCAGGCGTTTGCGGTCCATAGTAGATGTGCTGCCGTACCACACAGTGATGCAGCTGGTCAATATGCTCTCGATGATGCAGCTGTAGAAGTTGCTTCAGTGATGCACACCCTCACTACATCTTGAGGGTTTCCACAGCAAAGAATCTAACTCCRAACATTAATGAACTGGCAGCCTAGAACAGATGCCAAACATCTGGCTCTGGCACATGTAAATAAAAGAAGAATGTAGTCGACCTAAATATGTTTTATTTTGCAATTTATCCAATATCCTGTCTATCCTGTTTAATAAATGTTGACCCTGATGACACAAGAGTCATCAGCCTCATCAGGGACAGTGATGAGTCTGTGTACAGATGGAAGGTTGAACAGCTGGTCCTCTGGTGTGGTCAGAACAAGGAGATGATGCTGGACTTCAAGAGGAACCCCCCAACACTGCCCCCTCACCATCCTCAACAGTACTGTGTCTGCTGTGGAGACCTTCAGGTTTCAGTGATTCACAATCTCCCAGGACAAAAAGCTGAAGTGGGCCTCCAACATCGACACCTTCACAAGAAGGCCCAGTAGAGGATGTACATCCTGTGCCTGCTCATCACATTCGGATCACATTCTCCAGGAAAACCTTCACGTTCCCGTCAAGTAGGAATAGAGTSTGTAACAAGCTTGGTTAAAGATAAGAGTTACATTAGGACTGATTAGAGAAGTATAACACAAAGCACATAGAGCACCGAGGGAAATGGTTCAGAAAGCTGCTGTGCATGTCTCCCCATGTCTGATGAACCATCAGTGGTTCTCACACGACAGTTATGGTCGGTAGATTAGGCTCCAAAGCAGAGGGAAGAGTTTTAATGATTAGAAAAGTAGATGTTATGGTGACCTCGATATCATCTCAACAACCAATATTAATATGTGTAAAACATTAATACTTCAAATATGTTTTTTTTCTACACATCTAAAACAGCCTGGGTCCTGGGTGTACACTATGCATCCAGGTCATTGACATTAAATCATGAAACATTTGTTTTACCCAAATGTCCGAAATGCATCAAATGTGAAGCCAAAATATGAAGTTAACTATTTTGTTTTTATAATTTAGAGACGTTAAACATTTAATGTTGTTAAAATGACCCCAAGGACAATAGGAGGGTTAAAATTAGAACAAATACATAACAATCTTATAATGAATAGTATTGATTGACTATCTCAGAGTGTTTGAACACATCGATGCAGGGCCATTGCCAAGGTTGGAAATAATATACAGCAAAAATGATACATTAGTCTATTCCTGTGTCTTCCAGTTAGTCATAGGTTTGAGTTGTTGCTCACTATGATGTAAACACCTTGGTCAAAACTTGACTTTAACCCAGACTGCACACTACACTTGATTTAAATGYTAACATCTGCAGCTCCTGCTAATGGCAGAGTAAAGTACAAGAGTCACATTTATAAGATAATAGTGTCATGAAACAAATACAGTGGAAGGAGGAGTGACAAGTTAGAAATAAATTTAATGAATAGAAAAGTAGAAGTACTGTAGTCATATATAATAACTCTGAAGGTACTTTAGATTATGCTTTTAAAATCAGGTTTTAAAAGTGTAGTGCTGTGTGTGCGGTCACATGTGTGATTATAGACATGATTCAAAAGAGTCACACAGATTTTAATAAAAACATTGACAAAGTCCTGCATTGTATTAAAGTGCCCCAGTAAACATGACAGTGATCCAGCATGCACAACATCAGGACCATGAAACTGGAGCAGCTAAATGGAACTCAACCGTCATCCCGAACAACAGTGCATGTAGCTCTGTCTGCATCTGAATGGTTTGGATTCCTCAATAAACACTTTGCACAGTGAAGTTTACTCTTCTTCCCCAGAGGAGCGTAACTCTGGATCAATTCAATAAGAAGCTCCATGTGTTTTTCTGGGCTTTCTACCTCTTCTCAGGGTCTTCTTCAGTGAGCTAAAACAGCTTTGGTTCTATCATGTGAGCTGAGGTTGTAATGTTGGTCAAGATTCGACCATTGGACCAGTTCCTTTAATTCATGAAAACCCTGAGATGCAATTGAAAGCATCAAACATGATTGTCCCTGAGAGGATGGACTAATAAAGCTTGGATATAATGTTTGGTCTTGACCACACAGCAAGCAGATTTATTGTTATCTTTTCAACTGTGTCTTTGCTTTCCTACCTTTGTTTCATGAGTTTAAACCTGAGATGAACAAAACACTGTTGTTGTTGTTTTGCTATGAGCTTGGATGGGGTGAGAGGAGGGATGAGGGATATTSATCTTGTTTTATTGTAGATATCATGGAAAACACTTTGTTTTATATTGTTTGTTTATAAAGTACTAGGTAAATGAAGTATGTTTAAATGGATAAAAATCCATGTTTACAGGCTAATTTACCCACAGCAATCTACACAAACTCAGACTGCACACGTGTGTATATTCTGGATACACAGAGTGTTTGTTGAGACTGAGGT